GCACATGAAAAGTGGCCCCCCCCCCTCCCGCGCTGGGGGGGGGGGGGGAGTGTCAATGACGCTCCAGCTACCTGGGAAGCCACTGAGGTCAAGATTGTGTCTCTCTGTCCCTGTATCCTAGAGCTCCTGAAAATGGACCAAAGTCTGCTTGTTCTAGGATCCCCAGCGGATGTCAGCAAGGGCCTGGCCAAACAAGAAGGGCTCCGGAGGCCCAAGGTGCTATGCAGTGACCACAGACCACAGCGTGGCTGTCACTTCTCCTAAGCACTTCTATTAAGTCGTCAGTCATAGCAGGAGGGGCTGTATTTCCCGGCCCTGAGATTTCCCAGCCACCCAGTGAGGAGTGTGAACCCCTCACCTGTCTTTGATGCTCTACCTGAAACTGCACTGATGCCCCAGACAGGCCTGATTTGCACCCCGGCCCGCCCTGCGTAAAAGTTTTGCCTCAACGGTTTTCTTCCCTCCTCCGCCTCTCCTGGCCCTGCCACCTTTCTGCAGTCCCTATCCGTCCCCGATAATGGAAATGGAACTGGACCAGAAGTTCTCCTTCGGCAGGCTTCTCCATCCAGCACTCCCCCTCGCCCGCGCCGAGGCAGAAATGAGGGATTCTCTAGGGCAGACTGAATGCCAAGCCTGGGAAGGCCTCCTCAACCCCAATGGGGCCCAGGGCGCGGGGAGCACGAACTCACCGATGCTGGGCCCCAGCTCCATCAGCACGTCTTCCCGGCGCAGCGTGGCGAGCAGCTCCAGCAGTCGGCCTACCGAGGCGCCGGGGCGTCCCTGCCAGGCGTCCAGCAGGCTGCGGGTGGGGTCGGTGTGCGTCTCCAGCTGCCGGATCTCCAAGTACTCGAAGCCCATCTCCTCGGCCAGCGTGGTCCAGTCGGCCGCCACCTGCGCCCGCACATTCAGGAACAACGACAGGCGGCGCCGCACTCGCATGTTGAGGGCAGCCAGAGGCAGGGAGAACTTGGAGGGGTCAGGGGACGTGGAACCCGAGATGGGGCCTCCTGCAGCCATGGCGGGCCACCCCGGAGGCTCCGCGCTGCCGGGCACCGTCGCCTGCCCAGCGCTTCCTCCTTCCCCTACAGCTCGGGTCCCGCCCCGCCCCGCCGGCTTTCGCTTTCCGAGAAGCACCGCCTCGTCCCACACCCGGGAGCCCGCCCAGATGTACAGAGGCGGGGGCGCCCTGTTCCTGCCCTAAGGGTCTCAGGAGGCGATGGATATGGGAATCAGACCCCGCCTTTGGGGACTTAGGGAGGTGCACCGGACAGCTCTCCAGGGCCTGGTGGCGGGGGGGGAGCAGCAATGGGGGTCGAGGGTAGGGAGATCAGTGAGGGCAGAGGACCGGACGACCCTCCTACGAGGTGCAGGAAACAGGTTTTGCTCTTTGGGATTAGATGGAGTCGCATCCCTTCCACGGGGAATTTAAGGGGTTCATAAGGTCCTGCCCTCGAGAATGGCGAGGGGGCGACGAGGAGGGAGGCACCGGCTCTGGGGAACATATAATCCCGCACACAGGAGTTTGGGGAAGACAAGCTGTGTACACCGAGATGGGTTGCCTCCTGGAGGCTGCGGCATTTGTGACTCAGTCCTCGAAATGGGGGGTGGGTGGGTCAAGACCCTACCCTTCGCGGCTGGAGATCGCAGGGCGTACTGTCCCTTGGTGTTTAGGGGTAATGCAGTATACTTCCCTTGGGAGTCAGTCAAGGCTTAGGGTCTGCGCTTTCGTGTTGGGGATCCAGTCCTGACCTGGGGAACCCCGGTTCATCCATTTACTCAACGGGTATTTACTGATCACCTAACAAGTGTCAAGCAAGTTGCAGACTCTCCGAATACAGGAGCCCTTTCTACCTTGGTGGAGACCCCAGCTTTGCGAGAAGGATGAGAACTAGTCAAATCATCCCAGATGGGTGTAAAATTGGTAAAATAAATAAATAAATAAATAAACACGGGATGTTTTCTCTCCAGTTAGGAGGGCTCGCCTCGGCTCTTTTGCAAAATCCATTCTCCTGCCAGCTCGGAATCCCAAATTCCCAGTCTTTTCGAAGGAGGAGTCCGAAGATAGGGCGTGTAGCACGCGGGCGTATCGGAAGTAAGGTATTTAGGTCCGCCGGTGTGAGTACTGGGAAGTCGCGGACAAGCAGAGCCCATAAAGTCCCGATCTCCGTCTCCAACCCGAACGAGAAGCCGTAGCAGGGTTCCTGGCGGTCTTGCGCTTTGCTTCGCGGTGGGCAGGGGCATGGCTTCGGGGAAAGGGCGTCCTGGTGCGGCGGGGTTTATTTCAACGTAACCAGAGAGCTTTGGGGTCCAGCTCAGTTTTGGTTACGAAAGGTTGCAAAAGACATAAGGGCTTTCGGTGCGTTTCTGGGCGGGGCTTTGGGAAGGCCCACCCCTGGTTGGCCTCGGTAGGCTGCGGTGGGCGGGGCTTGGTGTGAAGAGCGCTTCCGGGCGGTGACTGGGCGGGCCTTCAGGCAGACTCGCCTTCTGGTTGGCTGCGGCGGGAAGTGGGCGGACCTCTGGAGAGACCTCGGCGTCAGCCCCGCAGGGCTGTAGGGTGTTGCGGCCTCCGGGATTGAGGTGTGGTTCTGCGCCTGCGCGGGTGACGGTCTGTTAGCGCCCACAGTCTGCTCCCCGACGGGTGGCAGGTCCGCGATGCCGAACTGCACAGTGAGGAGGCTGCAGGTGGTGCTGGGCCATCTGAAGGGCCGGCCCGGTTCGGGCCCTGCGCCACAGGCC